CTTTTTTTTTCTGGTCGCAGCAGTCAGTTTTGCTTCATTGGTTGCTAAAAACTCAATAAACGCAACGAAATTAAAAGAAAAAAACTCAACGAGACGAGTTGCCTTTTCGCCCTGAGACAAGCATTACCATCTTTCAAACACGGAAATGCAGTGATTCTTTGAGATATGGAAAGGGTAAGGCCCAGTTAGCTCTTGGATATCGGTTCCTTGTAATCTTGCTTAAGAAAGAAATAAACAATAAATAGGAAACACGTGATCATTATAAATATCCGAAGAACTTGTCTTGTCGTCCTATGGTTAATAAAGGTGACTATTTGTTACTCAATTTATCAAAAAACTTGCTGGAAGAAATTAAGTCGCTAAAATGTCACCTCGTTGTTTAAGCCATGCCCGAGACGAAACAAGCGCGCTAAACATGAAATTTACTTCGCTTTTTGAGCCATGATGCGAAACAAGTGCTCTTAACATACAATGTACATCGCTCTTTACGCCATGAAGAAAGACAAGCGCGCCACTTACGTTAATGTACCTTGTTCTTTGATCCATGAAGCGAAACAAGTGCGCTACACGTAATATACCTCGTTCTTTACGCCACGAAGAGAGACAAAGACGCCAATCATGTAATATTCGTTCTTTGAGCTAGGGAACGAAAAAGGCGCGTTATTCACCTCTTTCTTTACGTCATGAGACGAAACAAGCGCGGTACACATGTAATATACCTCCCTCTTTTGAGTCGTGAAGCGCAGGTAATGCGCCTCGTTCTTTAAGGCACGAAGCAAAAAATCGTGCTAGACGTAATATACTCCGTTCTTTAAGCCATAAGGCGAGACAAGTGCGCTGCACAAGTAATATACCTCGTTCTAGAGATGAAAAAAGCGCGCTACACATATTTTAAGTCACAGGGCGAACAAGCGCGCTACGCTATCTTATACGCAAAGACAACTAAACGTTTCCGCACAAACAATTAACCCGCGTTGGTAGACAAGTATGGGAAACTTGGTATGATTTTTCTAAAAAGATTGAACCGACGTACAATGCACAAAAACAACTTAACGAGTTTATTAGTGCCAGCAAAAGCAATGGCCCGCGCTGAGGGAGTGAAGCGACAAGTTGGGTTCTGATAAATGTAAATGATTCTCGTTGTTATTAATTGAAGAAACAAACACCCATTTTTATTACACGTATAAAAATCGTAGACAATCAAGTGAATCATTCAGAACCCAAGGCACATACGTGTACCAAACGTTGACAGCGAGAGAGTGCGTCCTATCAACTCACATTTCCGTCATTAACTTTCTGATTGGATGAGAAAGTGGCGCTTTTTTTTTTAAGCCAACAGTAAGCGTCGTAACACAAAATTAGTAACACAAAATCAAAGCGAATTTGAAATTTATTTCGAAAACCGCTCTATTGTTAGTTAGCAAAAGTTCTAAATAGACTCACATCAATAATCAGTAAGGAATTGGAAAATTATACACAGCAGAGAAAAAAAAACTACTTTGTTGGAAACTTGATTCCATCATAGCACCTCGATATCTCGTTCTCCTAATTAAGACCTTCAACAGAGACGTTTTGTACCACCAAAAACCAAACAAAAATAAGATTCTAATGTAACGAATGATTTAAAACATACTGAAAAGCAGTGGAAATCAGTTTAAAATCGACATGAAATTTCACAATTACTTACAAAATGCGCCTCTACAACTGGAGGGGACTGGCCAGCCCCTTAACATGATGAATCCCGAGTTCTTTACAACAAAGTTAAGTTACAAAGAAAACTTCCAGGTGTTATTAAATAGTTAGATATACCCAACAATTGTAGGTCTGGTAAATTGTGAGATTCCGCCGGAGTGAGATCTCTGTATTAAAAATTATAGCTGTGTTTGGTGCTACGCTTAGATTAGTCAAGAACTTACAGACAGTTTACTATCTGGAGTGCGTTCCTATAACGCTTAACGTAGGTTACATATTGCAATGTTTACTTTAAAATGTTACAGAAGATACGCTTTCTCACTTTATAGCGCGAGTGTTTTTGCTAGTCTGTGCCTGATCAATTCATTTTTCTACAAAGCAGTAGTGTCAGCTTTATATCCTATGTTGGAAAAGCCTTCATTAGCAGCTTCCATTTCTTTCGTTCCATTAACCTCCACATGTGCCAGCTCTGCATTGTTCCGTTCAATATTTTCCATCATTCTCTGGCCAGCATAGGCGATCAAGCCGAAGAAGGCGAATCCAAAGATTAATATGCCCACGGACATCCCAATTAGTGCTGGGCTGAGTGGGACGATAACGAAGGCGGTGAGAAGAGAGATTGTGTCCAAGATGTAGATTAAGGCAGCAAGAACTTGGCGATGGAAGTGAGTTCCAAGGATGGAGCCTAAAGGAGCCATGAACATCACAACTGGAGCAGTCACAATGATGTAGTTCCAGGCTTGAAGAGTGACAGATTCTTGGATGACCCGGCGCCAGAACAGGCCCACCAGAGAAGTCCATGCCATCATGACAACTGATGTTGGCGTGGCCGTCTTCTCAGTGACACGGAACAGGAGCGTCAAGACGCTGAAGCTGCAGATGTCCACTCCGCCCCCGACAACGGCAGTAAAGAGGCCACCGATAAATCCACACATCAGGAGAACGAATATCTTCCAAGGCTTGATGTTAGGGATGGTCTTGTAAGTCTTGCGCTTGTGGTAGCGATTGAGAAGAAAGAGGGCGAAGGCAAATGAGAACCACACGCAGACGAAAATCATTTTCTTTACCTTTGCACTGACGTACGGATCCACAAACTCCAGCCCAAGTATGACTCCGAGGACACCTCCGGCGAAACAAAATACTATAGAGTGCATCTCTATCTGCACCCGCATCCAGAAGATGACAAAAGTTGCTGCTGACATACCGCAGGACTGCACCATAAGTGCCACATCGCGTGCCACTGATGGTGACACATCAAAAGCAAGGGTCAATACGGGAAAAGCAACTGCACCTCCACCTTCGCTGGTCATTCCTGTGAAGAAAAGTAAAAGTTACATTAGTGTATTACTTCAAAGACGTCGCATGTAACCTTTTAAAATAGTGATAAACGATCCCAGAAACTACCTTTTAAACAGTTTACTGAAATGTCCTCGTTTATTATCTTTATAAGTTTAGAAGCCGCTCCGTACAATGTCTAATGCTGCATAAAACTCGATTGGTTGTTTTTTAGAGGAGCAACAGCAATAAAGGGGGAGAAAGATTCATAAATGATATGCTGGCGAAAAGGAAAGGGTCTACCAGACATAACTAATGCTAACACACGATTCAAACAACTATGTCAGCAACGGAAAGCTGATGTTAACAAGTTTCAGGGTGTGGATAGTAATTTTGCTGGTCGCAGCTTACAGTTAAAAAAATTCATTCCCCATAGTTGCTATCTCGTTTGCCTGAAAACTTCTTTGCAACCGTGACTTCGCTAATTATGACCAGTGTTTTCTACGCATGCATGTTTCGGAGGTTATTTATAGAAATAGTCTTCACCTGCAACAGTACCGCCAAGAACCATTGTCAAGGTCATGTAGTATAAGTCAGGAAAGAGAGCAAACCAGTTGTACTTAATGGCGCAAGTCCACCAAACAATGTGACAGAGCCCTGACGCTATGGCAATACCAACGAAAAGACGGTACTTCACCATAAGCTTCCTGTGCCATGGTGCATCAGGTTCTAGTTCCTCGAGAGCCTTAATTTGGGTTTCAGTCACAGTCTGTCCTGAAAGGTAGAAAAGTTGGCATTAGACCGGCTTTATTATTACTATCAAGAAGTCAATGAAAACAATTGCAATAATCACAAATTCAACAGTATATAGCACATGAATCTCAGAATACATTTGACAGAGTAAGAGGTCACTGATTCGAATCTTGGCGACGCCGTGAAATTTGTTAGTTTACTACGATGATCACCTCGTTTGATTTTATACCAACAATACAACATCATATCTTAGTTTCAGGTGATATAGTGCTAATATGCCCGAGAATTTTTTGTTAGATGCGCTTAAAATTTATGGTACGGAATACTTACTATGATTGGGATATGGTCACAAAAACAAAAAGGTCTAAGTTTCCACGAAAATGACTTTTACAGAGTAGGCTATGCGAGATGGGTAAAAGATCCGCAATATTTTCTTACAAATTAAAAGAGCGCTATAAAAATTTTTGTTGAAGTACAACGTTGGCCGAAACACAGCGTGCTAAAATGAAAAATGTACGTGAATAAACTCTTTTTACTCCTCTGTTAAGAAGGCAGAGATATTTTCTTCGTTCAGTTCCTAATAACGATCTTTCGTCAATTATTTTGTTCTGATCATTGTTGTCCAGTGACAAGAGCACTTCGCAGGTAGCCACAAATGCTTCTGCTTCTTCGTTGTTAACGTATTTTGAAACTTAAGACTTGGCCTAAACATTCTGTTTTGAATCTCAGGTGGATTTGAGGGCAACTATGTAATAAGTATAAAAGAATTACTTGAACGCATTCTGTGACATGGTAGCTACGGAGTCTTCTTTTTGACTGTTCAAATTCTTACCTTCCCAAAAATATTTCTTGAACCATTGCGCGGGAGTCCTTCGCCCTCGTCGAGGTGCTTCGCCAGACGCGTTCTGAAACAAGCAAAACCAAATTTCACTCTGTCGATATCTTATGCAGCTGCAAACCTGAACATCCTTTGCTGTTTATGTACTATGTATGTATAAATGTATGTCAAGAAAAGCATCTTTTGCAATTGCTCTCACACTGGGTTAGCCAACTGGATTTGCTACTAACTTTCTTCTTAAACGAAACTTATCACAGAGTATGCACTTGACTTCTAATTGCTTTCAATGCGCCAAATCTAAATATGCTCTTTCTAACAACACTCTGATGTGCCGTAATGTTCACAAGAAAATTAAGCTGCGAAAGAAGTCCTTGAATAGAAATACAGAGCATGTGATTCAAAGCAGCAGAAAAAGACTATCTAATCAGAAGGGGAATTAGTACATTACACGTACGAGTACCAACAAGTTAGCAGCGACTTTTTTGATGATATGATTCTAATAATGGACAAGAATCCCGAGCGCGTACACCAATGAGAGACATCAATATCCACATACTATTTCGGAACTAAAGAAGAAATTTTGTGAAGTTGATTCATGGTAAAAGACTTTAGTGGCTGATATACCCAAATGTTAGTGGCATATTTGTATTTTAGACCAACATAAAAGGATTGCGAAGAAAGTCCTAAACACCAATTCATCAGTTTAAAAGGAACACGATTCAGAGAAGCAGATAATGACCACCGTTTCAACAAACACATCAATATTGAGTGTTTACCGAGGAGTTAACCGTTGTGAGGATTCCTGGAAGGCCTTATACACAGTCAACAGAATATCTCAGCCAAGTTTACTATTCAATATACATGCACACCATACATCGATCGCCAAGTTCACATAATAGTTTTGAGATTATACTCAAGCACTCCAGAGGAATACGTATATGTTGATGTACTAGAGATATTGTTTGACATTGAATTGCTGGACTAACTTAGTTCCGACATCTCATGTATCTTCAACTGGCAAGACACTTCAGTAAAGATGGTGAAAATGTTTCATCCCGAGACAACCAAGTAGCCGGTAGCTTTTTGACTTCTTTCAATAGTATCCATTCAGCAGTTGCAACCTGGAGCGTATCTTGGGCAGATAAAGGATTTTCTACTCAAACTCGTGTTCACTTGGAAGTTTTTACCGGCAGAACATGTATTTTTGGCCATTTGTCATTTTTCTGGCACTGCTTTACTCGACTTTTAAACCAACTAATTAGAAATCGCATATTTTGTTATATTTAATGTTTGACTCAGCTTTAGACAAATTCGGTTGTTTCCTAGCAAGAAAAGATATATATTTTTTTTCATTTTTGTCGATACAGTTGAGACTAACCCAGATCGATTGTTCTCTCGGTATCCGTAGCAGCTGTCACTTTGAACCGTCATGGTTGGGTAAAAAACGCTTGCGCACGCATGACTCAAAGTCCTTTTTTGTCTTTTCACGTGTTTTTGTCAGAATGTGAGGTTAACAAACAGGCTCTGATCACGTGTTTGACATAGGTAAATATAAACTGCACTTTGGTTATGTTTGGAGAAAAAATTTACGAAATGCGGTGCGTCGGAGGAATCAGTCAAGCGGTCCAACGTTATGTAATATTTCCGGACCTTTTTCATTTGAAAATGAAACTCTTTCTTCAAGTGTTTTCAGGGATTTGAATTCGGCGTTTTAAAGAAAAAAAATGTTTCTGACATTCTTTCAATCTACCTATGCATCGTTTCTTAAACTATTTCAGTGTTGTTCACGGCTATTTTCTTGTTCGAAACCGCTTGTCGAGAGCAGCTTAAGACAAATTCAGTTGTTTCCTAGCAAGAAAAGACTGTTTTTTCATTTTTGTCGATACAGCTGAGACTAACACAGATCGATTGTCCTCTCGGTATCCGTAGCAGCCGCCACTTTGAGCCGTCATGGTTGGGTAAAAAGCGCTTGCGTACTCATTACTGAAAGACCTTGCTTTTGTCTTTTCACGTGTTTTTGACAGAATGTGAGGTTAACAAACAGGCTCTGATCACGTGTTTGACAACCAAGCAACGCAGTAGTGATAAATGTGCTGTTTGTCGCCTCTTAAAAACTACTTCAAGGCATTCATTCTTGTTTTTGGCGAAATGTTAAAAAAAAACCAATTTCAAAAAAACTGTGCCCGAATTTCCTTGCAAATTGACATAAATTTGTATCATTGTCCTTAACAAAACGCAGGTAAACGGAAACCTTACAACTTGTATTGATACCATCTTATCCGCGGAGTAACAACGTCTTTTGTCTTTAAGATGCCTTAAGGTATAACTAATGAGTGCGCCGTGTGTTAAAGGCGCTTTTTTTTTTTGACGTTGCGTAGTAGTCGACCAATCTTCCAAAATTAAGTGGAAGCACTGAAATTTATCGAACAAATGTAGAAACGCACTGTTCAATTGAAGCGGCGCTCTTCAAAATGGATTCAAAAAAGTACAGTACATTAATTAAGTTATCACAAAACTAATCTCAAAACTTACTTCATTATTTGAGGCCTGGTTATGGTCTCGCGCAGGGCTGATAGTTGGAGAATGAGGAGGTCTCTGACGGTAACTCCCGTTCTGGACAGGCAAACTGACTGCAACTTCTCCGCTCATAGTTTTTCACTCTTGGGCCTAAATTAGCACTCTGCCTTAACAAGGAAGCTGCTATATCAGTCTAAAAAGAATGACAGAGTAAACAATATCAACACCAATACTAATCAAATGTAACTTTTTCCTTGGGGACTAACTAGAAGAATCAATAAAAGACTGCCAAAACTTACCAAATAAAGATACGACCGACTTGGAAGAAGGCTGCCCCGAAATGAGCTATACTTTTGAACGTACGCCGGATTTATAATAGGTTTTTGCATTAAGTATGAAGTCTTTTGTCAGTTGTCTATCGTGCACAGCATCTGCATAATTACGTAATCACTGCAGGGTTCGCCGGTCATGTGTTCATTCCAGTACACTTCACTTCAATGCAGGTTGTCTCATACTGTTACGAATTCTTTTATTGGCCTATTTAAAGAAAAATAAAAGCAAAACCAAGGAGAACTTAATCAGGGGGCAGTTTTAACGAGCAAAAGAAAGAGAAGTTGGGCATGCTAAAATTAGCCTCCTTGCCAGCAAACATCAGTCAGAGTTCACGTGAAGATTACCAGAGAGCCAATGAGGGCTAAGTTATTGTCTAATAAAGAACCAATCATAAGCTGCGAATGAAATCGCTCCATTGAAGCGATTAATGTTTTCGCGAGTTCTCAATTTATTCAAAATCCTTATTTTACGATGGATGTAATTCCTAATAAAATAATTGGAAACGTTTGTTTCCTCTGTAGTTCTTTTCTAATCCCTAATGCCAGAATACGAGTGGTCGGCAAGTAGGGGTTTAAAATTAATGATCTGTCAAAAACGACAATCCTCAAAAACTATTAACCGAGTCTCGAATTCTCGCAATTTAAAGTTAGAGTCTCGGAATCTAGAATTTTTTTCCATCTCGTAATCTCGAATTTTGAATTTTTGAGTCTCGATATCTGGAAAGTTGTCGAACGAAAAAAAGAACGACTTTAGAATTTGGTCCATGCACCAAATTTTGAATATTTAAGACTCTCAAATTGTCGAGCGAGAAAAGGAAGGTTCTGGTCTATTTCTGTTAATAGTAAAAGACAACGAACACAAGCATGAAGAATGACAACCTTATTTTTGGTATTATCGACTTATAAATTGTCCAACACTCAGAACCTCTCAGAGTATGGGGCTCAGAGTTTTTTTTAGGATAAGTCTAGGGCTCAAAAGTTATGGAAACAGTGAAGTCTCGGTCTTCGATTTTAAAACGAGGGTCTCGCAGTCTCGGATTTACCTTTCTATACCCCTGCAAGAGTTCCATGGATACCGAGCGTGATCGAAAATACCTTGGAAATAGATGAGATGGTCTTGGAAGTGTGTTTACTGTTTTCATCGAGCGACGCGTTCGTCTGTACAAAGTATTGCAAGCGCTTTGCTTGTTACTTCGGTTAGAAATAATTAAAGGGAACCTGCGATCAGTTTAAGAGAGAATGGTGTAATGACAACGAATTGAAGAAACTACGGCGAGATTCCACTGATCGAAACAGAGGTGGATATTATTGAGCAGATCCAACGTTTAACTCTCCAATAACGCAGAGCAGCAAAAACACTGACATCCTTCACCTTCCCTACCGCTCGCAAGATCATTCATAAATGAAATTTTTCATCTTCCGTACCGCTTGCAAAATCACTGATTACCGAAATTTGTCATCGTCTCTCTACGCTCGTTGGAACAGGATTCTGATATCTGTTATTTTGTTTGGAAATGACTTTTCGCACTTCGATGGCAAAACAATTCGTCTTAGAATCTAATTTAGTGCATTTTCGACAGATATTAATTATTTTGTTTTGATGTACGGATCTATTTTTTTATTTTTTTTTTTTTTTTTTCTTTTTTAGTTCCGTAGCATCGCGGCACTGTCGCAATATTCTAGTATCACTTTAGCAATAGAAGCGATAAAATGATGGTCGACGTTTTTCACCATAGACTGATTTACTCAGTATATTGCAACTGTCTTGTTTTCTAATGAATTACAAAGAGGTAGTGGATTAAGACTTCGCTACCTTGGAGACGCGTTGTATATGTCAACTGCCAAAAAGAATTTGATCGTAAAGTGGACTATTCTTGAGAATGACCCTTTAATGGTTACGTTATGACACATAGAAGACTAAAACTAGATA